AGCTTCTGTGGTGCGATGGAGACTGCAAACACCCAGAAGGCTGAGCAGAACACAGAAGCACAGAGTTCCCTTGAACTACAAAATTCATCTTTTCACTACGTACATGTCAAGTTAGAAGAGCATGAGCCTACAGACCTCAGCACCAAGGAGCTCATCCTGAAGAAAGCCAAAGAAACCTGCAAGTGCAATTGCCAAAGCATCATCACCTTCTTCTGCAAGCTGTTCCCAGTGCTGGAATGGCTTCCTCGGTACCAAATCAAAGAGCAGTTGCTCGGGGACATCATCTCTGGGTTCATGGTGGCAATAGTTGCCATCCCACAGTCAATATCCTACTCCCTCTTAGCAAGCCAAGATCCTATATATGGACTCTACACTAACTTCTTCTGCTGTATCATCTACTTTGCTATGGCCACCTCCCACCATAACAGTGTTGGCTCCTTTGGTGTTCTGTGCCTGATGATTGGGCAGTCTGTGAACCGGCAACTTCAGCTAGCAGGGTATGGTGAAGATGACACTGGGTTTGCCCTGCAAATGAATTCCACATTCTCTAGCAATGGGACGGCCACCTGTGAGAAAAGCTGCTATGCAATCAAAGTGGGAATTTCTTTAAGTTTCCTTGTTGGTCTTTACCAGGTAAAGCAGTTTCATTATGTTTATCTTTCTCTGTGGTGTAGAGACTTGCTTAAAATGCACACTTCTAAACTTCTAGCTCTTCAAAATACAGGTCTCGATTTAGATGATAGTTGGTAATAATGGTACTTACTCAGCTCCTTACTCTTTAAATGGTACAAGCCAAAATGCTAAATCCAAATACCTTTGATACCTGGCAATTTTTAAAAGCCATAATCTAGGTCTGAATTTTGGTCATGAATTTATTTTCCCACCAGGTAATAGTCCAGATCCTAGAAGCTGAATGAAATGTACTAAAGGAAGAATTTGAGAAGTGTGAAAAGATGGTTGTAAGCCTTCTTTCCACTATACCATTCCTGGACTTGACTTGGTTCTTGGCATAACTTCTTTAGGGAGCTCTGAATTACATGAGAATAACAGCTTTCTATGTATGATTTGTGCCAGCAGTGTTTGTTTGGCTGTGGTATCCTCCAGGTCCATCTTTCCTGCTCTTGGCCTGCCCCTGACTTTCATTATCCTGAATGAAAATGAATGTTGTGTTTGGTTCATTGGTTTTATGCAATTTGGGGTATTTGTATGCTGTGTTGGGCTGCCTGAGCAGAACCGTGCTGCAAACGGGGACCTAGGGATTTGGCTAATCCTTTGGATTTCCCTGTCAACTAACTGCAGTTATTTGCTAGCAGGAGGGATCTTGTAGGCTGCTCTGTATTGTAGCCACTGGACCCACAGACCTACTCCAGTCCCCAGATTAGCTACTTCAAATAACAGTCTGTCTTACAACGGCCTGATCTCATGAATGCCCAGTCAATAAAATAGACAATGTCTTTAGAATGAAAGCTAATGGAAATGTGTCCTTGTTCTCCGCAGACTTTCACACAGGCACTAAGTGTAAAATTGGCTTTTTTTTCAGATCCTTCTGGGCGTTTTCCAGCTGGGCTTCATTGCTGTGTACCTGTCAGAACCCCTCCTGAGTGGCTTTGTGACTGGCTCCTCCCTGACTATTCTTACCTCCCAGATGAAGTACCTCCTAGGGTTGAAAATCCCTCGCCACGAAGGGATAGGGTCTCTTATCCTGACATGGGTGGACATCTTCAGATACATCCGGAACACCAACATCTGTGACCTGGTAACTAGCTTGATTGCTTTGGCTGTCATTGTGCCAATCAAAGAAATCAATGCCCGGTATAAGGACAAGATGAAGGCACCATTCCCCATAGAACTGGTGGTGGTCGTTGTAGCCACTTTGCTTTCATATTACCTTAACTTTGAAGGGCAATATAATTCAGCTGTTTGTGGGACCATCCCCACTGGCTTCAGGAAACCCACAGTACCAGATGTGCACCTTTTCTCCAGCCTGGCAATTGATGCTTTGCCCATTGCCATAATTGGTTTCGCAATGACTGTCTCTCTAGCAGAAATCTTTGCCAAAAAGCACAGTTACACTGTCCGGGCCAATCAAGAGATGATTGCTATTGGCATGTGCAACCTGGTCCCCTCTTTTTTTTACTCCTTTGCCAGTTCTGCAGCCTTGGCCAAGACTCTGCTTAAGGAATCCACAGGAAGCCATACACAGCTCTCAGGTTTGGTCACCTCAGTGGTGCTGCTGCTGGTGCTGCTGTGGATTGCCCCACTCTTTTACTCACTGCAGACCTGCATCTTGGGGGTAGTCACCATTGTCAACCTTCGGGGGGGCTTGCTGAAATTTGTGGACACCCCTAAGATGTGGCAGCTGAGCAAGGTGGACTCTGTGGTTTGGTGGGTCACCATGCTGGCTTCTTCACTCCTCTCCACAGAGATAGGACTCTTGGTAGGGGTCTGCTTTGCCCTCCTCTGCATTATTTTCCGCACCCAAAGACCCAGAGCCACTCTCCTAGGCAAGGTCAGCAACACTGAAATCTATGAAGATCTGTTCACTTACAAGAAACTCAGTAGCATTGCCAATATCAAGATCTTTAGGTTTGAATCCTCCCTTTACTATGCCAACAAGGACTACTTCAAGAGCGCGCTCTATCAGAAAACTGGAGTAAATCCTGCCGTGGTCTCTGCCAAACAACAGAAAGTTGAAGCCAAAGCCAAAGCAACCATGACCAACAGTAACAACTGCTTCTCTGCCAGGTTTAGCTGCCTCAAGTCTGCCAAGAAGGGAGTCCAGAAAACAGAGGTTCCTGTTCCCTCCATAGGTATGCACACCTTAATCATTGACTGTGGGGCCATGCAGTTCATTGACACAGTAGGACTTTCAGCGCTGAAGGAGACCCGCCAGGACTACAAGGAAGTTGGTATCCAGGTCCTGTTGGCCAATTGCAACCCGTCTATCCGGCGCCTACTCCAGGATGGGGGCTGGGCCAGCAAAACAGATGATGGTGAGCACCTGGCTTTCCACAGTGTCCACAATGCTGTGCAATTTGCTGAGAGACAGTTTGAGGATAGCAAGGCAAAAGAGGCAGCTTTCCTTGACTCTGAAGTTCAGGACATCTTGGAGGACCTAAATTTCCCAGCTGATCTGTAGAAAGGGGGAGGAGGATTGGTTCACTTTCAACAGGGGTGCATTTAGTGCAAAGCTCAGACCTCTTTTTTAATCTTGTTATACTCAGAGTATGCAGAGCACCCCAAGGCAATGTTAGCAGCAGGATAATGTCTGAAAGGTTTGGAGATTTAAGGAGAATGAACAAATGAATTGGGAGGGGCAGTGGGAAGGACCCCAAAGGCAATTACTAGGTGAAAGCCTGAAGTGGTACATCCTCCTTGCCTCAAGAGGGCACCTACACTGCAGGGGAGTATGAGCAAAGACATGGACATTTTTCAGATGGGAGATGTAAAGGAAGAGAGGATGCAGAGAGGACCTAAGACTGATGGGGACAGCCAGGAGAACAACCGATCAAATTTTGTAAACTCCTCATTTGAATGTGGGGACCCTGGAGTTAGCCCAATCTCAAAGGCAGGGTAGCCATCATCAGACCACCTCAGGGGGAACTGTGACAGTGGGAGATGTAGATGCTTATTGTCACTTGAAGCAGATTTGACTCTGAAGGGGTGTATGTAGGGCAGGGGATTGGATGTGGAGGTGCATGAACACTTACAAGGAAGGGAATGGGAGAATAGCAGATAGATAAAAGCCTTTGATAGATCTCTCACTCTTTGGGGATCCTTGCATGGACAGATTTGACATCTGGTCCCTCCCTCAGCATGTGCTGCAGTGAGGTCCAATTAGCCCCAAAGCATCCTGTCCTTTTCTGCCTCCAGTGAGGGAGATCCCACAACCTCCCTTGGCAGTTTGATTGCAGTTCCGAATCACTCAACTCATGACCCAAGCATCCATAGCTTTATTGTTAGCTCTTCCTTCCTTGCTTTGCTTTCATCCTTCTCAACTGAAAAGACAACCCCATTCTATGCAGCAAATAGCATTCCTGGCCTTGATAGGTCACAATAATGAGACATAGACCTGCATTGTGTTGGTATGGGAAGGATGGAGTGGTCTGAGGGAGCCTGGTCCAGAACAATGACAACTCTGAATTAAACCTCATGCCTCAGAGCTTGCACCAATTTAATATTGAGCAGAATGTAACTATATGGAAGGGGAGGGAGCACAGATTATCCCACATCTGTCTCCTGCACGGTTCTTACAGCATCCATCTGCTGTCACAGACAGGACACTTGATTACATGGACCTTTGGTGAGGCTTACTCTGGACATTCCTATCTCAGTCTAAGGGATAGTTGGAAAGAGTAGTAGAACGATCAGAGTAATATGGCTTGACATGGTAACTCGTCCTATTCATAATAAACTCCCCAAAGCACTTCTCGCTGACCTTTCCCTCTTCTGTCATCTCCTTTAAGAAAATAAACCAAACTAAATCCTAGCTTTGCCTTGGTGTATTGGTCTCTGGTCCTGGTAGCTGATTGACAGCAGCTACATGTTGGTCACTAGAGGGCACAAGAATACTATGCATGGATAACCATGAACATTGTGTTTCCCTCTCATTGTTTATGAGATTTCATGTACGATTTTGCTGGAAGTGACACTTTCCCAATGCCAAGGTGCTTTATTAAATAATTGTACTCCCTCTTTGAGTTCAATTTACAAATAATTGAATTCTGTTTATCTCTGGACCTTGGATTCAGCTAGACCATTGTGCTTTGCTAAAAAGTAAGCTCCTTTACATACTAAAGACTGGATTTCATTGTGAAGTAAGCACGGAAAAATGTGTACCCTTAACCACCACATTTTGAAGCAAAACAGCCGAGTGTTTTGGACACCTTGATATAAAAGGTGAGATCCTTTTAAGGAGCCTGTAACAGGACTGGGCCACAGGGGTGGCTCTGACACCGTGATGTTGAGCTCTATATCTCAACTCCTACCTTCACTCTGGGTCCCTGAGTCCCCTTCCTTTTCCATCACCTGCCAAGCTTTGATATAATTGGTTGATTGGTGAAAAGGGAGGCTGCCCTATCGTCCCAAAGTAAACCTTCATCTGCTCTCCATTTGTGGGTTCCTCCTGAATCCTGCTGTCCTGCCCTCTCGTGTCAATATGTCCCCTGTGGCCTGGCTGTGCCATTCCCCAGGGCACTAATTGCCTTAAGGGTTAATTTTATGGCCTCCAACCTCCCCTACAGCCATGTCCATGCCTCATAGGTTGTACCAATTAATTACTTTGGTGGGAACTTAACTCCAGGCTAATGTCTGGACTCCTCAGACCTCCATCCTCTCATTTAGTCTCTGCCCCTCTCAAGCTGCAGGCTCTCTGGCCCTCTCTCTCTACCCCTCTTGGGGTGTGAGCTGTTTAGCCCTCTATAGTTCCTTCTCCGCTTGGGCTGTGGGCCCCAAGCCCTGTTTCCCCTTTTCTGTCACTCACTACAATCAAACCCCTGTGCTCTAGTAGGGCTCAAGACAGCCGCGTGGCCCTTGGGCACCACTGGGACCTCCAAACCTCCCCTATCGTCTCAAATCCAGTCCACCGGTTAAAACTCAAATGAAAATCATAAGCACTCTTGCCATAATTAAGACTCTCAGCAAACTGGCCATATAATAAACCTATACTCATCCTGGGTACCACATCCCTGCCTGCCCTCAGCTACTTGCTTGCTGTTCTCTGGCACAGCAGGATCCCAGGTATTAGCTCAGCTGCAGCCAGTTTGCTGCAGCTACAGCTACAGCTACAGCTACAGCCCTCTTCCTGCAGAGCTCTTCTCTCTATAACTTCCAGAGCCAGACTGCCTGGTTTGCCCTGCCCTGCCTACTCCCAGTCAGGTGCTTGGCTATCCCTGGCAAGGCTGCTCTCTTCTTATTCAGGCAGCTTGTTGCTGCAGCTCTGGCTACTATGGCCATGCCCCTTGGTTTGGCAGGGGCAAATCCTAGCTATCCACAAGTCCTATTGTGCTATTGCTGTGCAACTAGCACAGCCATAGTTCCTCTCAGCTTCTGGCCTGTGGCTGTCTATTCCTTTGCACCTAGCTCTGGTTAGGTTGCCAGGGCACTTCCTGCTACTGGTTTTTCCTGTTAAAGTAACAGGAGCCTCAGGCTCCCCGTGACAGAGCCATTGCCATGCTGGGACAAACTTGAAGAGTTCAGCATGAATTGATGGCTCACTGGACACTGAGAAGCCAGAAGGCTAGAGGGACAAACGAGGCAAGGTAGCAGCCCCACCGGGAGTAATCCGCCATTTACTAGCAATTCATGGTCAGTGAGTCTTACTTGGGGACCAACTTCTTGCCTGGGAGAGGTCATTGGTAAGCCAATAGAGTCTCAGCATCGGCCCCTGTTACAACTGGTGCCTTGGCTGGGACATGCCCAGGCCAGCTCAGGAGAGCAAGCATTATGGAAGATGAGCTCCAAGGAGCAGCACCTGACAAAACAGGGGCACAGGTGCAGGACTTATTGACATAGATATTCTAGGGCCAACAAAGGCAGATAGAGGAGTTGTTCTGGGGATGGGGAAAGAGCAAGCATCCCAAAGTACTTTGTTTGGGCAGCAGCAAACACTGAATGAAAAGCTGGAAAATGGGAAGGGACAGGAGACTGGCTTATGGAAGGCTTTAGAATGCCTAAAATGGATAAGGAAGTTGCCCAGCTGCTGATCCCTTGAGAGTATACGAGGGACCTGATTCAACTCTCTACCCACAGGGGACCATTTAGGTTGAGACAAGATAGAAGCCCAGTTATTGAGCAGGCTTTTTTGACCCGGAATTTATAAAATTTGACAACTTTTGTGATGCATGTCCTATCAGTCAGAGGGTGTCCGTGGTTCACCCAAAGTGCGTACCCTAGTATCCATGCTGGTGATAGGGAAATCCTTCAACAAAATCTCATTACATACAGCAGGGCCATTTCTAAAATGTAGTGTCAGGTACTAGTATGTGCTCGTCATCATAGACTATGCCACCTGGTTTTCTGATGTAGTGCCCCTATGATCAGTCACCACCCCCAAGATTGCAGCAGAATTGATGAAGTGGGCAGCACAGGTAGACTTGCCTAAGGAAATCATAACTGACCAGGGGACAAATTTTATGTCTGGGGTCATGAAAGGGCTCTGCAGGACTTTACAAATTAAACATTTAAGAACAGCTACCTACCACCCACAGACAGATGGTTTGGTGGAGAGGTTTAACAAGACCATAAAGGGGATGTTGAGAGCTACCATACAAGGGGACACTAGAGATTGGGACCAATTACTTGCCCCTTTCTTATTCATGATATGAGAGATGCCACAGGCTTCAGTGGGGTTCTTCCCTTTTGAATTAGTCCATGGGTACCAGCCTCGGGGTTTACTGGGTGTAATACAGGAGGCCAAGAAACCACAGTGATGGTACTTCCTAACCATCTGGTAAAACTATGAGAATGGTTACAAATAGTGTAACAACTAGCACAGGAAAATCTGAGAGAGGCTCAGGGATGCCAGAAAAAGACATATGATCCGAGTGCAGAAGAAAGGGAGTTTGCAGTGGGAGAGAAGGTCCTGATTTTGTTACCCAACCAGAATAGTAAGCTTTTAGCTCAATGTCAGGGACCCTGTGAGATCATCCAAAGGGTTGGCCTTGTAGATTATGAAGTTGTATGACCCAGACAAAAGCAGGAGAAACAAATATATCATATGAATTTGCTGAAAGAATGGAAAGAACAGGAAGGCTGGATGATGGGCCCAAACCCAGCCCCCTTAGAACTAGGCCCCCCAGTGGACAGAGACTTGAAGGTCCCAGAGGGAAGTGTTAATCCTATGGGAGAACATCTAACAAAGGATCAGTTAGTCCAACTAACCAAAGAGTTCCAGGATATCTTCCAGGACAAGCCAGGATTGGCTTAAGGTATCATCCACCACATCGGTAGTCCACCAGGCCAAGTGGTCCAAGAACATTGGAGGCATCTCCCACAGGGACTATACAAAGAAGTAAAACTAGAAATTGAACACTGTGTTGTGCCTGCCACTATAAGGGTCCAGGCAAGCAGCCAGCAGGTACTCAACTGCGGTGGCCATTTTAGATCTCTGGCTGCCTATACAAACAGAACAGTTCACTGCTGGCCAGCCAGGCAGTAACATTGCCTGGCCAGAGGGCTGCTTGGAACATTCTGGAGGTAAGGGCAGGAGCTGTTGGGGATGGTTTGGAGGCTCCTGGTCCTGGG